TGCTTAAAAACTGAAAATAGTGCATATTAAATGCAATTTTTTAAAATTTTACTTCTGATAAGTGCCACATAAAAGTATATTTTGTCTGTTTCTCTTATAGTTCCACTTTAACTAATTTAATTTAAATTGCAATGATACTTTTTTCAAATTTTCTATCTCATCATTTAAAGTTTTCAGAGTAGTCATGGACAAATATGATCCTATTAAGCAGCACTTACTACATTGCGTAGCTAATGTTTTTTCAGTATAGCTAGTTATGAAAAGTAATGATAATTAAAAAGGTCAAAAGGTCATCATGGTTGCTTTTCTATAGGCATGTATAGAGAAAGAGTTTTGAATCTACACTTCATATAAAATTTTGGTACACTTTTGTTATCAGGACTGGCTTAAGAAATGTATACATGTATGTATGGATGTATGTGTTCATACATGCATGTATGTTCATAAAATGTATGTATGGATGGATGGATGTATGCCTATGTGTGTGTAACACACGTGTATATACATACATTTCTCAGTCTTGTCCTGATAACAGAAGAGTACCAAAATTTTATCAACTTTCCTCTAAAAGTATGTAAATTTTGTAGCTTTTAATGCATTGTGTCTAGGAGAATATTTATTCAGTAAAAGAATTATAAGTAATAGAATTTTGATTAGTTTGTTCTTTCTTTTTACCTCACACCAACTTATATACATAGGGAGGGGAGATAATGTTTTTGCTCCAAAAATTCAATAGCGAATTTTCAGTCAATCAGTTTGAATTAGGGTCTCCATAACATGATTTTACTATTCTTACAATGACGTCTGTGTGTTTGCATGTGAATTTTTTTTCTTTTTAATCCACAGTTATTCTTGTATGAAACTTCCAAAAATTTCTGTTGTCCATACATTTACGCTTTCTGTATTCATATAAAGATTTCATTTTGGATAAAATTGGGCAAGAGAAAGTGGACAGAATTGTGTTGCAACTGAATGAGCATTGTTTACTGATCGTGAAATATTACAGGGATATATATACATGCAGATCAAAATGATTTTAAATTTGTTGATACTATAGAAATAACACAGTAGAAAAATAAACTAAGGTATTTAAAGTGTTTTATTGTAAATGTATTATTGTAAGATCCATCTCTTCTATTCCACATATACTAAATTAAATCCTACAATGAATTTGGCGAATTCTCACACAGGCATGAATGAAATACCAGCACTGAAGAAGAGTGAAAATAACCCTTTATTAATTCAACTCAGAATAGAAAGGCATGAACTTCATGCCTTACGATAACACCGTCAACTTGCGGCGAAACTTAAATGTAGAATATAAATCAATTCAAAGTCTAATTAGAATAGTGCTGGATTAGCACGCTAAAGTATGACTAACTTTAGGTTGACTCAACAAAACCTAACAGGCATGAAATTATCAGAAATGGCCAAGGGGTGTACTGGCGTAACAGCGAGATAGCAACGAAACATGCTGACTAGTGAAAACATGCTCTTAATAAACTCAGGGATTTAACTGTTTAACTACTCACTTCACTTAATTTTAAATTTACATCCTGGCCAGAAAGTGTGAAGGGAAAAATGAGAGGTTCAGGAAAGGTATCAAACTTAAAGTAGTTTGATATGCAAAATAAAGAGAATCCCTACATTAGAAACACTTAATTTTTTAAAATTAAAGACGATTAAACTATGTATTATTCAACTACCCAATAAAATACAATTTTTAATAAAAAATAATAATAAAGGAGAAAACATTCGATTTTGTTTGTACAAATTTTGAAAAACCAGTTTTTACACTTGGTCAGTTATACCTTAAAATAGGACCTGAAATTTCAAACAAACAAACAAACATAACATTGAAAGTGATTAATAGCTTGTTGTTATATTATGAATATATTTAGCATAAATGCTGAAAATTTATTTCTTTTCCTTAATGCAATTTTCTCTTCATGGAAACACAAATCTTTTATAATATAAATGCCAATTTTATTTTTTAATGGTAATATGCATTTCTTAAAAATAAAATTGTGGAAAGAATTTTTGAAACAGTTAAAGATTTCTAATTTATTTTGTGTTAAATATTATCTGATTAAAATATTATTAATAAATTTACTTATATTTCTACTTTTAGATCTCATATGTTGTAGGACAATGAGCACCAGACAAGTTTCTCTAGAAAAACATACGACCCAACTTAATACTTCCAATGAGAAGATATAGTTTCGTCATTAACTCTTATCTAATGTGGTAAGATTTCTCTCAGCATAAGAAATATATCTTTTAAATTAGTTCTTTCAATTAATAAAGAAATATATCTTTTAAATTAGTTCTTTCAATGGATAAAAAGTAAAACAGAATGAAATTTTTGCGTTTGATTACCAGTATTTACTGTCAAAGCAAGAACACCATAAGGAATTAAAATAATGATATAACAATGGGCAACAGGCAAAATTTGCATAAATGTCTTTAAAATATCTTATCTCTTATCTTCAATACATATTTGTTATAGGAAATTGTTTGGCATGTATAGTACTATAATGGAGAAGATCCATACTTTCTTTACTTTTATTATCAGATAATGCCATAAAACAAAATGTAGCTAATAGATTAAGACCACAATATCCTGAAGCTTACATAGGTGAAAAAATATACAGAATTAACAATATTCCAGTTAATAATAGAATGATAATTTTTTTTTTCCTTTTACGCAAAAACTCCCAAACAACCATTAAGGGCGACATACTAGTAATTAGCAACTTCAGGTATTATTTTTAACTTCAAGGATTCAAGATTTATCTGATTATCAAATCAACAATCAAACTTAATAATCAAATAATCGTAAACTTAATATCAAATGCAATACCAAAGGATTTATTTCGCAACATCCAATATGAAGTATACCATAAAATTAGCAAAGCAACAACCTAGTGTTTGGCACAGATTTTAATCAAAATTCTATCAATTTCCAGGGCAAACAAGTACAGTCCCTCTTTATCAACAGGAAAGAAATCTGTGATGAAGGGAATGCAGTTGTATTTATATTAAAAAAGAGTAAAGCAAACAAGGCCAATAGATAGCATTACCTTCTCATCTGCTTTACTTCTTTTAGGAATAAATACAACTGTGGCTTTACCTTCCCTGCAGTTTTTTTTTTTTTTTTCGCTCCTGATGTAGAGGGACCGACACCTTGTAACCCTTGAAATTAATAGTCTTGACTAAAGTGCATGACAGATACAAGGTTATTGTTTTGTTAATTTTATGTTTCACTTTGGTGTGTCTCTCTTCTATCTTTATATATAGCATTATTAATTTCTACAATGGTATATAAAATGAGAGAAAATGCAATTAAGTTTTCAGAATATCAAGAGAGTGAAATAGATTAAGTTGCTGATAAGAACAAAATTAATAATGCCAATTAACTACATGCTTTACTATTATGAAAAATAATTCTTAAAATTAACATTTTACAAGGCAGTATTTTATTAGTTATATTTTGGAATGTCTGAAGAGTAAAGCAAGTAAAATGGGAAATAAGAATTTGTTTCTTATTAGCTAACTAAGAAAATTTTACTTTACGTTTTTTTTTTTTCTTTTTTTAAATTAAATACAAAATTTGCAAAAGAAAGAAAAAAGTCTAGAAAGTAATTTTTGTATTTTTAAACTATCCAAAAAATAATTTACATACTTCCAAACAAGCATTATATATAATACAAATTCCATATTATAACAGTTTTTAATTCACAAATAACTCATTAAAAAAATATGTTCCTTAATAGTTTTAAAATGTGCTTGGGAAAAATGGAAAATGTACTTTGAAGTTAGTTACTAGTTACTATTTACTATTAAGTTAGTACGTATTTCACATATTCTGGCACAAAAATTAGTAATTTGAATAATAATTTACATAATTACATATCAAAATGCAGTGATTCAGCATCAAAGATTAGTGTAATTTAAATTGTTTTCTTTGCATAACACAGTCCTAATTTCTTTTATAAATTAAAAAAAAAAAAAAAAAGAACAGTTACAAGAAACAGTACTTCAAAAACAGTTACGAGAAAAGTTTGCAATTCAAAATAAATATCCATGAAACTTTAAGTCAGAAATATATAACACTTTTTCTTAGTCCTTCAGTGCCTATCCTTAATTATGCAAAACATCCTTAATATTTTGCAAGAAATAATAATTTTTGAAATGTAAATAACATTTTTTTACATATGGAAATATACCCATACTGATGTAAAGTTTTAATATTCTGTAATTCCAGATATCACATATTTTAGTCAATATTCTTGTTTCTCCTATCAATGACTATTTAAACTCTGTTTATTAATTTTTATTTTATGGTAATCATAATATATCATGCTACTTTGTTAATGTAAACTAGAATGGAAAGAAAATGTACTTTCATTTTTCTCATATTTTGAATTCACCAGTTTCTTGTAAAGGAATTCTTGAACAAATGAAAATTTTAGTTTTAAACCAATTACAACTGAAATTCTATATATTCTCCTAGCAAAGACGTTCTCTTCATAATATTTTATTTTAGTTACTGCAATACCAAAAATTAGAAACTAGAGTGAAATGAAAAATTGATTATAAAATATATTGATTAGAACTCTGTCATGTGTATATGTGATATTAATAATGAAGGAATATTTAAAACAACATGTTTCTAAAGTAAATGTAATTGTAAACTAATATGCACATTTGAGTTTGCCAAATTTTCTTAATGCTGTGCTATATTTTTAAATGCAAATATTCTTAAATAGGTGCTTTTATTATTAAGGGTGCTGATGAAAATTCAAGATTTCTATTATATTTAAGAGAAATATTATATTTTACACATATTTATAGTACTGCACTTTAGAAGTTTATGATGCTTGGGCACAAAGTTATTTAAGATCTAAATTGTTGTTGCATGCAATATATTTATTAATTTTCATCACAGGCAGATTTATTCTCACAGGAATAAGTAATCACCTGTATTTCTTTCTTACCTCTTTGATGAAAAAAAAAGAAAAAGAATAGGATATCTTTCCTCTCGGAATACTGTTCGGAGTATCCATTTCGTGATTTAAGGATATGCTAACTCTTTATCCCTATTATAAATGATAGAATTAAGAGTAAGGAAAGATCTTTGTTCTTAGAGAAGGAATCTTAGTGCTTCGCCGTGTGCTGTAATCGAATTCGTGCGATGAGTCATCGTAGCTGCCAAGGGAAAGTGCGCATCTCTTCGGCGGGAACTTATGGGAAGCCGTCACCGTCTCGCAGCCGCTCACCGTTGCGCTGGCGAACAATCGAATGTCATCACGGGAAGCGCGCTTTAGCGCGACCCCGCCTTTGCCCGTCAATCAATCATCGAAGCGAACTCTCATTGGCTCATTCAAACGCACCTCTCCAAGATGGCCGCCACCGAGACCGGCTTCTATTGGAGCCGCCATATTTGTCAGTATCAAGTCTTTGCGACCCCCGACCCCCAGCGGCGGGTGGCCAACGAGGTTAGACTTATTTTTTTATTCTTTTTACTTTTTTTGCTTTCCCTCTCTCTCTCCCTCTTCCCCCCCAGTCCGCATCTCTGCGGAATGTGTGTCCGCGGGTGGTTGGGATTCGTACTGTACGAAGGTTAGGTGCAACATGGGGATATGGAACACCAAACGTAAAGCGTATCGGCGATTTACCTCTACTAGGTGCAAGTGTAACTCACGGATTACTACGTCTGTTCTTCGTGTGTGTTTTTACTGCCTGAACCCTTTGATGCCCTAACGAAATTCTGTGCTTGAGTCGTCGACAATGATGATATGTGTGTTCTATGTTGGAGGGAACTTTAGGCCTAAAAAAAGCTTATCGTCCTGCACGATCAGTTCTTCGGCATTTTAACCTGTTCTTTTCGTGTGTTTGTGTGTAAGTGTGCTTCGCGTATAGTAAAATGATGGAAGGATGCAATCTATTTCGGAAGGTAAGTACCGCGGCCATGCAAATATTGTACCTCATATTTTCACGTTTGGAATATTAAGATATTAATGAAATTTTTACACTTTCATAATTAGGCGTATTGTGTGATAAGTTCAACCCTTTTTTTTGCAGTCCAACTATCGCGATTTGAATCCGATCTGAAAGTGAAACTAAAATTCTGAGTGATTAATGAATTGAAAATCTGCACTCCGTTTGGCCGTTTCGAATTCTTTGATTATCTTCTTAAATATATTTGCTAATTTAGTGTTATTTTTATGTGCATTGTTCCTCGATAACAATCGAAGATTTGCAAACAGAGTTACTGAATTTTGGTATTTCTTTATGCTAAAATATGGCTTTCAAAATCCGGAAAAGTATTTTTGTCCCCTGGTCATATGCTTATAAAAGATAATATTTGGCATAGTTTAAATATACATCCTGCACTTTTATTTGGTGTTATGAATTGAGTGCACTGGTAAAATATTTAGTATTTTTGCATTGTGTTTTGTATGGATCTGGCATAATCTGTTTATTTTAGTTATCCTTTTAATTTGCTTTATATACTTCATTAAAATATGATAATGATTTAAATATTTTATCTTTTATATGAATTATCTTTAATATAACATAATCTGTTTATTTTCGTTATCTTTATTAATTTCTACATTGCATGTAATTTACAAGTTGCATTAAAGTATAATAGGATATAAATCTTTTATTTTTTATTTGAATTATCTTTTTATATTTTGCTTCGTGTAAATTATGTTACTAAAATTGCTTTTTTTTTAATTAATGCATAATTGTATTAGCCATCCTTCTCCTCTCTGTAGCTTTTGAAAATATTAAAGCCATTGTATGATTTAAAAACACTCTTATCTGTTTTCATAGGACGGATATTAAGCTATTTTAATTTTTATTAATCTTTAATAGTTAACTTTCTTTTTGCAATTTTGCAGCAGATGTTGTTAAACAAATTTAAACTGATACAAAGAACAGCAAAACATTACTATTGTTGTTCAGCTAAATATTTTTCGCTAATACAAAAGCGTTGAAGTGATACAAACTAAATAATTTCTTAATCGTTGGTGTGTATTACTTAAAACAGCTCAGCTCCCAGTAAATGTACAAAAACGTATAATGTACCTGTATTTCTGCGACACATATTTAAAAAAAATATATAATCTAGAAGTTTCTATGAAACTTTATTTTAAAACTGAAAAACTCACTTGAAGCTTTCATGAAATAAATCATAATTTAAAAGAACAACAGCACATTTTTGTTCAAACTAAAAACTGCTTATTCTGTAAAAATCGTGTAATTTATTACAGTAATATGAATTAGAATGTGTTGTTTCGACTCTATGAAATGTTATATAGTCAAAATAATCTAAAAATTTTACTAAAATTTAATTTATTAGCCCAAAGGGGCTATTAATTTCATTTTGGCATTTTGCATTGGTTCACTATAAACGGCATTTCACTTTTCAAATTGTTGCCACCAAACGTAGAGCCCTGCATTATATTTAAAGAAATTGGAACTACTCTTATATACGCCCTCGCTTGAAATTTCTCGCCAAATATTTTTGACGAGAAACTCCACGGTGCCATCTTGATATCTAAATTTTTTGTCTACATTTCAAACTTTAAGCGTAAATTGTCTCCAAAACGTGGTTTACGCCAATTTAAAAACCATGTTTTGAACACACAATTTAAGCGAAAAATCCGAAACAAAAAATGGTGAAAGTATAGTTTAGGGTACCCCTTGGCGATTTTTGGCAGTACATGGATACCGAGTTTGTGCAATTCTTTGACTCATTATTTTGGCTTGCGAAGTGACAAAAATCGCTGCTACACGAAGCCAAAATAACAAGACAAACAATTGCACAAATTTGGTACACATCGACCTATTTTCACTTAAAAAAAAATCCCCGAATTGCACAAAAATGACATTGTGCACTCCTTTGACTTTATCCATGTACACGCCAACCTATTTTCACTTAAAAAAAATCCCAGGATTGCACAAACTTGCATTGAGCACTCCCTTTATTTGTCCATGTACACATCGATATATTTTCACTTAAAAAGTCAAAGGAGCCCCCAGTTCTACAATATAAACAAACAAAAAATACATAATCTCAATAAAATACATTTCAAACCAAACAATAAAATAACCTAAAAAAGGAAAAACATTTAAGCACTACTAATAGCAGATATTCACTTACTCTATTTAGAAGTTCCTTCGTCTTTAGTCCGTGGCACACAAAATTCCTTAACAGTATCCAAAAACTTCCTAAAATTATCTGAATTCGAATTCGTATATCGGCATTGTCACATAAATTCATAAAAATAAGAGTAAAAATATCCTGCGTACTTTCCGACTGTCAACACTTTTTTCGAAAATCTCTCTTCACCACACTTCTGTCTTGATGATTTTCGAGTTCGCTTCGTAAACCCAGAGCCGCATAAAAATCAAAATATCAATCATACTCAAATGACTTTTTTCAAACCAGGTACCCTTTCTGATCGAATACTTCACATAGTGACCATCTGAACCTTTCTTCCTACAAACCCATTCAAATCCATCTAAACGGTTTTTACGTTCGACTAGATGCATATCCTTCCTACTTACAGGACACTTGTAATGGCTACTAAGTAAACCTTCATTTACAAACCACTCAATTAACGCTGTTTTCTCCTTTCGTTCCAAATCGAACAGAAACTTCAAATTAATCTTACTACATTCAGACATTTTACCGTCTAAACAATCAAACCAACACCCACACCATAAAACGCTTACAAAACATCTCATGATTCAAAATTTCCCAGAATCATGCATCCAATTACATCACAATAGGGTTTCCATAGCATTCAACGACTCAGGTTACCATAAATGGAGCAACAACTTGGTGATAAATGAAACAACAACTTTGTCATAATACAAGGGTACCTTAATACCTTAAAGTCTACTCTCACCCAAAAAAATTAGATAGCAAAAACGTAAAGTTTCTAACCGAAAATATTTGACAAGAATCCATGTACACAGCATCCTGTTTAAACTTAAAAAACTGCTAATCTTTGGAATATGGTAACAGGTAGTTTGGCGACATTTGGTAAGGCGATAAAGGTTACTAACTAGGACTTTAGCAGTGTACATGGATAAAGCCAAGAATGTGCGCAATGCCATTTTTATGCAATTCTGGGATGTTTTTTTGGTTGATCTTTGGATTATGGTAACTCGGCGATTTTTTGGTGAAAATTTGGTGACCAACTCTGCTACAGCAACCCTCTATTTTTTTTTTTTGCCACCATTTTGTCTTCACGAAGTAAAGACATCTTTCTTTTTTTTCTTTTCTTTTTTTTTTTTTTTTACTTACACAACACTTTTTCCAACAATCTACTAGCTGAATTACACTTATGCTAGAAATTTTATGTAACAAAACTGCTTAATCATGACAAATATTAACTGCAAAATTGGGAAAAAGTGCACAATCGCAAACTCCTTGCGTGTTTTTCAGAATAGCACATACACATAAACCATTTACACATCGACTTACTTTTACTTAAAAAAACATCCCAGAATTGCACAAAAATAGCATTGCACACACTCTTAACTTTATCCATCTACACTGCTATTTTTCTCATAAATTACAAAAATTTGCACGAAAATGCAGGAAAATTTTCTTACACATATATGAAATTACCTGATCATGAAAAAGTATATACCCTTTCCAAGGATGAACATTTCCATGTATAAAATAAATAAAATATCCAAAAGCTTTTACCTCTAAATTATCTATTATATTATAAACATCACCAATGAATTTATACGCAAACATTAAAAATAATTACAAATACTTAGTGTCAAATATTTAAATTATTTCCATACACGTTTACTTCAACTAAAACGTATACAGTCAAAAGTCGTTAATTCGGACACCCATAATTCGGAATGATCTATAATCCGGACCTCAAAACTAAAAACTTTCTGCGCATGCGCCGCGTTGACACATGCGCATAGGCGTTTACGCGTGCGCGTAAGACCTTTTACTACTGCGCATATGAGTGTGTGCAAGTGCAGAATACGTTTTCGCGTCCGCGTTTTATGTATAATAGACGTATAAGCTAATTATCTATTTCAGTTAATGTTGATGATTGCGTTGTTCCTTAATTTTCGAATTGGATCCGGTTTATTATTTTTTGCAGACTGTAAGACCAATTTTATAAAAGTAAGCTTAAACTTATATCAAATAGAATTTCCGATATATATTTGTTAATATGTAAAGGATCTAAAGCGAAAGTATGTTTTGAAATCCGAAATCTGTTTATCAATTTCAGGCTGCTCGGTGGGGGGAACGCCGGGCGAGCGCAGCGCATAATGAATTG